ACTAATTATGTATTTTTATATAAATATAATATATGAATAATAAAGATACAAGCAAGTCTTGTAAAATAATTTAATTAAACCACAAACTTCACTAATAAATATTTGTTAATATTTATTTTCTAATATATAATCATCAGTATTAGCCAGGATGACAAATGATCATTTGCCTATTTTGAAATGACCTTCAAATAATTAGGTCTATACATGTTTCCAAAATTGATTATGGATTTTTGGGATATTTTGACTTTTTGAAATTTATGCAGAATCTATTCTATATATAGAAGTAAAAAAAGTATCCAGTTATATATATATTTAATCAAAGAATAAATCTGGGAGGTCAAAAAATTTCAGGTTTAAGTAAAATAATTTCATCTTCTATGAAAAACTATTTCAACTTTTTTCTCCAAATTGCAATTTCGGGACTCCAAAATAATTTTGTATACAAGTATAATCAGGTCATTTGTATTAACAAATTATTTTTGAATGTTATAATTTTGATAATAAATATATAGATTTGATTGTTTCTATATTTTTTCCAATACTACAAAATTTCTAATAAATTTATTGTTCATAATTATATAATTATTAAAATATAAAAATTAAATAAATTAGGTTAAATTACCTGGTCATTTAAAATTGGAATTGAAATGACCCAAATAACAAATGACTAAAATTACAAAGTCATTTGAGATCATTTGGGTCATTTGCCATCCCTGGTATCAGTAACACCAATATTAACCAGTTCATTTGGAAAAGTATTGATCATATTTACCAATTAAGATATGTGAATATGCATCCAATACAAAGGCTTTGTAAGAAAATATGGAAGTGCCATGTTTTTTTGTACTCTTGAAGAAAATTTAATAGTAAGTCCATAAGGAAGAGTACTTTCTGGTAAAATGATTAAGGAAATATCACAACTTACTCCTAATAGTGATCAAAATATTGTTGGAAATATCATAAAATCATACAAAATAGAGAAATACTTTACTGAGCTTCTTGCATTGTACTTCTAAGAAATCCAAACAGACCACTCAGTCATTTAGAATACCTTGCTATTTTGTTGAAGTGGCCAACCAGAGGTAATAAGTTATGAATGGATCTAAAATGATTAACAGAATATAAAAGAAATAGGGTAGGAGAGTAAAAAAGCAGTGTAGATTTAAATGGATAATAAATAATTATCATTATATTAGCAATAGAATAAGTACTGACACTCACTGTTGATTAAGCAAGAATAAAATACAAATGACATGACAAGAATATTAATTATGTTTGATTTTAAATAAACGATATAATGTTTTTATTTTATGCCAATTATTTTATTTATTTATTTATTTGTTTTCTATTGTGTGCCTTTAATAAAAGTTACAGTTTTGAATAATAAATAATATGACATTTGTTTTATTTCGAAATAGCAGAATATAAAATAAAAATATCCTCATTAGTCACACCATCAATAGTCACATCTAAATTAGCAACTTCTTTATCATATGACTCCCGTTCAGGTTTTTGCAGGTTCTTTCGTTAAATTATAAATAAGCAAATATAATAAACACTAGTCAAAGAGCGCCAATTATTAATTGTAACGTGACCGCGAATGATCGACAATAAAACTGAACTTTTTTTAAATAGAAATACACCTTTTAATATAATAATTTAATAAAAATTTATTTTGTGCCTTTCGAAGTTCGTCGTCGTTTATTTATGAACTTGTTTAATATTGTACATACGTATCGAATCGTAACTTACAATTATTAAAATTTTTAGGTAACAAAGACGCAATTCGTGCAAATTTTTTTTTAAAAAAATAAATATAATGTTCTAATAATTATAATTTAAGTTTTTTTATGGTCTGTAGTTTACGAATATTTGAATTTTTTAGTTCTAATTTCAAAATTTATCTGCTGCCAGCTATTTCAAGAACATCAGCATCAACATCATCCCTCTTTTTTTTTTTACGATAAATAAAAATTGCAATACAGATCAAAACCACCACACCTATTCCTGTTCCAAGCCCAATCAGAAAAGTGTATACAAGTTTTGGACTGGAGGAAGAAGAAGTGGAAGTGGAAGTTGAGGGCGCATTTGATGGGGAGCCACTAAAAATAATAATCCAAATAATTCAAATAAATTAATTATTAATATTTTATATTTTTGTTTCTAATAAAAACTAAACTTACGTAGAGGAAGTTGGAGGTGCACCAGTAGCAGGAGGTCCACCGGAAGGAGCACCTGAAGCAGGAGGTGCACCGGAAGGAGCACCTGAAGCAGGAGGTCCACCGGAAGCAGGAGGTGCACCTGAAGCAGGAGGTGCACCGGAAGGAGCAGCTGAAGGAGATGGACCGGAAGGAGCACCTGAAGGAGCACCTGAAGAAGTACCAGGAGGAGCACCGGAAGGAGCACCTGAAGGAGGTACACCGGAAGGAGAAGCACTACCAGAAGGAGCACCAGTAGGTTCATCCGTAGGTTCATCAGTAAAATCAGTAGCAGTATTAGGAGAACTACAAAGATTGTAAAAAATTTATTAAATCGTTAAATTTTATTACTTAAATTATTAAATTATTTAAATTAGAAAAAAATTACCTTGACTGGGCGAGAACGGCAATAACAATAAGACAGAAGATAGCAAGAAATATGAATGTCTTTGCAGTGAATTTCATTATTATTTTTTTTTTATTTATCCAAAACTATAATACTATTTTAATATTTATATATACTATATATTTAAGAATATTATTATTATTTTCAAAATTCGAGATAATTAAATAATTTTAGTAGAAACCTTATCAAGAAGAAATGGGGCCAGTATTTATTAGAACATAAACATGGAATCCTAAAAATAAATTTGATATTGAAATCTATTACACTATAATAATATTGAATTAATTAAAAAAAAAATAATGTTAAATAATTTTTTTAATTTGATTTTTTTGAACTATAGAATGATAATAAAAAAATTTTTTCCATTGATTTATGAAAGCTTGTACTAATCAAAATAGTAGTATAAATATGTGTGCGTTACGTTACGTACTACTGTATCAAAATTTTTATTAAGTCATATCAATTTCATTTAAAATGCAAAATCCATAATATTTGGTTGCTTGATGCCAATTCTAGCAATTTTGAATTGTTGTTTTACTACAGAATTATTATGCGTATTTTGTAATACAATAAGTATTCGATATCCTTCCATTTTCAGCAACCATTTTATGAATATTGTCATCCAGAGAATAATATGGTTTATACAAACACCTTAATTAAACGATTTTTTGAGTAGCCATTTCCTATTTCATTTAAAGTTAATGAATAATTATTTTCTATATAATTTATTGATTATTAGTTAATCAACAAATAAAAATATAATATGAAATTACCGTGGGTTATGTTTATAATAATAGTTAATAGATAAGGTTTTGAAATTGACTTCAATTATTTATTAGTGATTGGAATATAAATGTGCGCAGGAAATTATCTAGGCAAAAAAAATATTAATTTAGTAGAGAGTTATAATATACTGTAATAAATATATATGAGTAATAAGAAAACTGCGTGTAATATAATATAATATAATTTCATGTCACTGAAATAAAATAATTGAATAAAAAAGAGATAAAAATTTGAGTGATTTTTAAACGAGCAACTATAATATTTAAATGTAATTTTGAAGTAAAATATTTAATTTTTCTATTAAGATAAATTATTTCCAGATGGATAAAATAATATTTTTTGCTTATGAATAATTTTTAAACACAAATTCCATAAAATTTAAGTCCGAATCATGAAAAAAAATCAAAATTTATCAAAAAACAAAATATTTTCGAGTAGCGTTTTCAAATAAATGGGCAAAAGAAATGAAAAACATATGCTTGCCCGATGAAAAATCTTTTATTCTAATAATGCAAGATATACTTTTGGAAAAGTGAGACATTGAGTTTTACGTAAAGTCAGTCAAGATAAAACAATTTTGTAATAGAAATTGAGTTCGTCTACAGTAGTTTCCAATGAAAATTTTATAAATATTTGTTTACTATTTAATAATTCTTTTTTAAGGAATTTTTATTTTATCAGTTGAAATTCAACTAGCCTATATAATAGAAATATGATATGTTTCACATAAACATCTCATATATGCTCTATTAACTCACTTTCTTCATTTCTCCTAACCTTCCATTTCATCTATATTTCATCTATAATTTTATATACCGACTCACAACAATTATTTCTAAATAAAAATCTTATTTTCAACTGAAACAACGAATACACCTCACGAATGAATACATCTCCACAATGCATTCAAATAATTATAACTTAAGCCAGAAATTCTAGACGAATAGACGACGTAATAATTTTAATCGTTCACCCGCTATTTCATCTCTTGTTAAATCCATCATACAACGAGAATCATGATTTGTCTTCATTATTGTAATCCTACAAGCAAGTGATTAAAAAGAAGAATGTTGAAAAATAATTGAGCTTATCTAAGAATTCTAAACCTTAACACACACCTTTGGATCAAAAAATCTTTCTCTTTCTATCTATGTTTATTTATCTTCTAATTGACCCAAAACAACTGTACAGTTACTGATAGTGCATCGAATATGGAAAGGATTGAGAAAATGTGAATTTCATCTGCGAGAAGACATTTTTTGCTTTGCTCATACCATAAGGAAATGAAAAGATATAACAATTATTATCTGCATCACCATCACTGGTTTTTTGTACTCTTGAAGAAAATTTCAATTGTATAGTATGTTGTAAACAATAGTAAGTCCATCAGTAAGAGTAATTTCTAGTGGAAGAATTAAGGGCGTATCACAACTTACTCCTAATAATGACTACAATCTGGTTGGAAATATTGCAAAATCGTATAAAATGGAGAAATTTCTCTCACCTTTAAGAAACCCACAATATTCCAAATAAACCACTCAGTCATACAGAATTACCTTGCTATTTCATTGAAATGGCCAACCAGTTCGTGTGAATTTTGGATCCTTTTCTGGAGCTCCATTCCCAAAGAAGGTTCTTTTATAGATAAGTTGGATGAATGGATAACAGAAGATAAAAGAAATAGGATAGGAAGTAAAAAAAAAAAACAGTGTTAAATTTAAATGAATAATAAATAATTATCATTATATTATATTAACGATAGGATAAATATCCGGAAATTGAAGTTTCTAGATAAACACTCACCGTTGATTAAGCAATAATAAAATACATGAATATTAATTATGTTTTGATTTTAAATAAATATGATATAATATTTTTATTTTATGAAATTTATACAATAAAAATATCTCCTATTTTATTATGTATCTTTAATAAAAGTTAACAGTTTTGAATAACAAAAAATATGACTTTTATATTATTTCGAAATGAATGAAATATAAATTAGCTTATAAATCGCATTAGATGAAATGACATCATTAGGCTCTTTTATCATTATTCTCGTCATAGTTACATCTTAGTATTGGTCGAATCTTTTTTGGTCTTTATCATATGATTCCCATTCATGAATTGTTGTCGTTTTTTCTCTATCGAGTTTAATTAATAAATCAATACCGTGAATGATCGACAATAATAAAACTGAACTTACTTTTTAATTTCAAAATATGGAAATATATCTTTTAATACTTGTTTATGTGATTTAATAAAAATTAATTTTTTGCCTTTTTAAAGTTCGTCGTTTATTTATGAAAAAGGTACGAATCGTAACTTCGATTATTAAAATTTTGGTAACAATCGTACAAAAATTTTTTTTTAAAAATAAATATAACATTCTAATAATCTTAATTTAAGTTATTTTATGGTTTGTATTTACGAATATTTAAATTTTTTGCTTCTAATTTCAAAATTTATCTACTGCCAGCTATTTCAAGAACATCAACATCAACATCATCTCTTTTTTTGTTTTACGATAAATAAAAATTGCAATACAGATCAAAATATCACACCTATTCCTGTTACAAGCCCAATCAGAAAAGTGTCTAAAGGCTTTGGTGAACCTGAACCGGAAGTTGTTGGTGCAGAAGTAGGTGCAGTAGATGAACTGGAAGATGTTGGTGGATCAGCAGTAGGTGTATAAGAATATTCATAAGCATAAGTAGGTGTATAGTATATTCATAAGTAGGTGCATAAGTAGTTAATTTTATTATTAAATTATATAAAGTTAAATTAGAAAAAAAACTTACTGGGCAACAACGACAATAACAATAAGACAGAAGATAGCAAGAAAGATGAATGTCTTTGCGGTGAATTTCATTTTTATATTTTTTTTTATTTATTCAAAGCTATAATACTATTTTAATATTATATATACTATATATTAAAATATTACTATTTTTCAAAATTCGAGATAATCAAATAATTTTTAACAAAACCTTATCAAGAAGAAATGGAAAATTGAGGCCAGTATTGTTAGATAACATAAACATGGAATCCTAAAAAAATTTGATATTGAAATCTATTACACTATTATAAAATTGAATTAATTAAAAAAAAAAATAATGTAAAAATAAATTTAAATAATCTAAATATCTTTTAATTTGATTTTCTTGAACTATAGAATGATAATAATAAAAAAATTTTTTCTTTCACAATTCTCACATTTACTTATGAAAACTTTGCAATATGTAATTTGTACTATCAAAATAGTAGTATAATATTTGCGCGTTACGTACATTATAGTCTTGGAATCAAAATCATTTTCCAAATACAAAATTCACAGTAATGGGTTTTTAAATCGACCTAAGCCCATTATAATATAATAGAAACCAGAACAACAACAAAATGATTAACATTTTTTAAAAAAAATGGAATAGTTTATTTAGTATTACGAAAAAGTTACATTTTCTTTAGGAAGAACTCCAGATAGTATTTCTTATTCAATATATTGAGGTTTAACCGGAACTGTGAATTATTCCCACATATTTGACATACCTTATATTCTGGAGTAGTAGGATCTTAGAATCTAATACAGATAATATAATAAATAATAATACAGACCTATATGAAACTTTACAAAGAGCTGCAGGATGGTTAATTCATATACTATTACATCAACATCAAATCAAATTGATTCTTTTACAAGAGCTAGTCATATTGATACTAACGTACCCACATGGGCTTATAATTCTAAATTATGATTATTCTGATAAAGTTCATAATTAAGACTTTCATTATACTTGACTAATAACTGGCTTTATTCAGCAAAACAGAAATTAGATCCTAATATAGAACCATTACTTTCCAGATTTATTGGACATTTTCAAAATATATAAAATCAACAAATATCCAATCAAGAAATTTAACATGAAGCATATGGTAAATTTATTAATTCATGATTAATGAATTATAATTCACGGCGCAGACTTCATCATTATTGGAAAATTCTCAATTAGAAAAACTTAGGCATAATCAAAATCCCCCTAAATATAATAATATATCCATATGAAAGGTTTTTATTTTAATATAATAAACAATTTTGGTACCTACTTCTAAAAGAAGCAAAAACAATCTTGAATCAATATCATTACCAATGGCATCCTTAAAATTAAATATAATTGATAAGTTATTATATGACCATTTATCTTTTTTTTTTTATAAGGTTCAATCTATTTGACAATAATATTATGAATAATTCATCAGTTTAAATTCAAATTACTTGCAAATGTCATTTTCTTTTTGTCAACCAAAATGATTTGTAAATACTAGCTGAATAGTCATTGCTCAGTAGAAGAAGATTATTAATTATTTAAAGTTTCCCAAGTCATTGAAAGCAAGCATTGTCAACGGACATGGAAATAGGACCGGACAAAATTTGGACGTCCGTGTCCATGTCACCATGAAAGTGAATGTCCAGGACATGTCCGAACATTGCTATGTCACACGCATACTAGTAGAAAATGGTTCTCATTTCCCCATGATAATCACCTCCTCGAGAAAATATTGAAACACAGACAGTGGACATTGTCCGAAATTGTTCGTGTCCGAAGAAATCTGTCCGTCACCATTTGTCACCTGGAAGGAAGACTATTTCCAGTAAATAATGGTTTAGTCCATTTAGAAGTAAAGTATCATATCTATAAACTTGTTTTGAAAAATCAAACTTAGTAAAAACATACATTATTTATTCATTGATTGATAGATTTCATAAATCATATTTTTTAAATTTATATATTACCTATTATTATAGAACAACAGATCCAAGGAAGAAAAGAAAGTATTAAAAAATTTAAATAGAAAAATCTTACCTTGCAAAGAACCCAGGATCACAGATCTGTAGTAAAGTAAGTAACATAAAAAAATTACTCAAATAGTAAATGTACGTAATTCTATTAAAAATTAAATTTTAGATTCATAATCAAATGAATTATTTTTACAGATTTAATCCCAAACCTATAAATATATTTCTTATTTTGTATTAAACTGAACTAAATAAAACAACTATATTGAGCATTAGAGAATAAGTAAAATAAGTTGCCGCAGGAGGAAAATAATTTGGTTAAGCAAGTGAAATGCATTATAAAAAATATGAATATTGTGCTGAATATTAGTAAAGTTCTGATAAATCTCAAGTTAATTCAATTACATGATTGCTTAATCATATAAAGAAATAATATATCCAAGAAGGCAAGTAATATTTAATGAACCTAAAATTACAGAACCAGTTTCAAGAAGGTAAGATTAAAATATGTTCACTAATGACGCGTTATTATAAAGTTTAGAATTATAAATTAGGGTTAGGGTCAAGGATAGTTAGTAAAAAAGTATTGGTTATGCTAGGGTTTGCCTATACTAGTGTATACTATAGTCTCCTTTGATACAATATTCTTATGTCCATGTAGATGATTTTCTATGCGTACTTACTAAATTGCTCAATTGTACCTCAAAATAAATATATATAAAACACAAGCTTTAAATAAATAAAAATAATAAATGATATAAAGAAATAAAGAATTCAGAATCGGAATTTGAATTTCAGCATAAAACTTAAGAATCAAAAACAAAGTTGTGAAGGATAAAGTGAAGTATATCTAATATTTATATTTATTTAAACTATCACAAACTTCTAACTAATTAAACTTTAAATATTAATGAATTTCTTAATTATTTCTCAGATAATTAGATTATAATTCTCATGCTTGTGCTTATTATTTTAACAATAACTTCTGAAAAAGGAATCAAAACACTTGAGAAACTATCTAAATTAGTAATACGATGAATTCATAAATAATTTTTTAATATAATTATGTAAGAGTTTTTTGATTTTTATGGATAAAAGTATGTCATAAAATTTCATGAAAAAATTATAATAATTATAATAGCTCAAAAATAAAATGTACATATATAAATCAAAATATTACATTTTTCAAAACAAACAATTTTTATAGGGGAGTGCGTTACATTACAATTATAGTTTCGGTAAAAAGTAATTTTCTAAATTAGAAGACAAATGAGTAGCATCTTTATGTCCAGCAAGATTTTAGAGTTGGTCATTTATTATACAATATTATGATAATGTTTTTCATTTGAGCATAGCATGAAATTGAATTGATTAAAAAAATAATATAAAAAATAATTTATATAAGAAATGCATCTACCAGAATTTGTTGATCCACGCCATTTAATTTATGGAAACTTTTTACAAAAATAAAAATTTGTACTATTAAAATAGTAATATACATAACGAAAAAATTAGGCAACAAAATTAGATTTAAAGATGCAATTCATGCGAATTTCTTTTAAAAAAATAAATATGATCATTTTATCAAGTTTTTTATCATCTGTAAGTTCTAATTTCAAATCTCTGATATCTATCTACTGCCAGCTGTTTCAAGAATATGAGCATCATCTCTTTTTATATGAAAAATAAAAATTAGAATACATATCAAAACCACTACACCTTTTCCTGTTCCAAACCAATAAAAAAGGGTTTAAAATCTTTGGAGAAGGGGAAAGAGGAAGGTAAAAAGTAATAAATTCAAATAAATTGACTATTAATATTTTATAATAAAAAATAAACTTAAGTAATACGGTTGTAGGATGGATGGTGATGATGGGCCAATAGGTTATGGACTGGTAGGAGGTGTATAATTATAAAAAAAACTTATTCAATCGTAAATTTTATTACATAAATTATAAATTATTTAATTATATAAAGTTAAATTAGAAAAAAACTTATTGGGCAACAATGGCAATAACAATAAGATGCCTTTGCAGAGAGCTTTATTTTTATTTATTTTCAAAGTTATGATACTATCTTAATATATATATTTAAAAATAATAATTATTATTTTTCAAAATTCGAAATAATTAAATAATTTTCGATAGAAACCTTATCAAGGGAAAGGGGACTAAAAAAAGAGGAAGTGAAAATTGAGGCCAGTATTTATTAGAAATATAAATATCAAATCGTTTCTTGTTACTTGGTCTTAGTATTTATACATTCGATTCGATTATCTATGTCGTATCCTAATATTGAAATATTATAGCATGAATTAATTAAAAATAATGTAAAAAAATAAATCTAAATAATTTAAATAATGATTAATAAATATTTATATTACCTTTTCGGAGTTCGTCGTTTATTTATTGTAATGTGTCATATATGAGTTAAACATGCAAATTTTTTTAAAAAATAAATATAATAATTTAAACAAATATAATTCAATCTTAATATCATCCGTAATTTACGAATGTGTAAATTTTAGTTCGAATCATAAAATCTCCTACTGCCAGCTATTACAAGTCAAGGACATTATTAAAAAACAAATTGCAAAACCAATCAGTAAAGGTTGGAGATGAGGATATGTCATAAAGATATACTTGAGAATTAATGTCATGTCCAAAAAAAATTAATTCCTATAATGTGTTGTAAATATTGAAATCTTTACCAAATGCAATTATCATATATAACTTTGCTATATGTCCATAAATAGATAATGGAGAATTTTGTTTGTATCTAATATAGCAAGGTCTGTGTTAACACTAGATTGAAGTATTTCGCCCCAAATAAATAAGAATTTAATTTGCGTAAAATTACCTCATTCGCAATTTGTGCATCACAGAGCGATTTTTTACTCATATATTTCTATGATAGACAGAAAGGCCTTGTTCTTGGCGATCAAAAAGTATTGCATCACCTGAACAAAAATTTTAAAATTTTGTGATACTTGATGTAAAGCGTAACATAAAAATCTTTTTAGACTCCCGAAAATGATTTAAATTCAATAAAGCAAAAATAATTACACATTAATAAATTCAAAATTATTTTATATGATTTACGTGATGCATTTCTTTTGATCGTTCTTTTATTTTTTTTTTTATTTATGTAGAAAATTTGACAAAAGATATGTAATTCAACAATGTTAAAAATTTTAAAAATTATTTTTTACTATCTGGTATAACCACCTTTGGCTTTAATTACATCATTTATATGAGTTGGCATGGTATCTACTAACTTCTTACATGCATCAACTCCAAAGTTGATCTTGTGTTCTGATAGGTGTTTCAAGTTGTCTTATATGTCTATCAATTTCATTCCACAGATGTTCTATAGGGTTTAAGTCCGGAGATTGTGCAGGCCAATCAAGCACCCTAATATCATTATCTTCAAACCATTTTTTGTGAGACGGGCAGTATGTTTAGAATCATTATTGTAACGAATCCACTAATTCATTAATTTACAAACAAGAAAATAAATAGCAACAACTATTTATTAAACACAGAAATAATATCAACAAATATTATTCCAACAAAAATAGATTGCAATTAAATTAATTGACAAGAACTTGCTTGTCTCTTTATTATTCATATACTATTTATATAAAAATAACCTTATCAAGGGAATTAATTCGTGAAGGAGATCTTCCTATATATACGCACAGTTCAACTGCTATCGTTGGTTTAAATAATTCCACAATATTTCTAATTGGAGGATATATTCAAAATATAAATACACTCGATTATAATTTTTCACACCAAGTTTATACATATGATTATAAATGGACTATACCATCAATCACTAGCAATATTCCTATTAGGCAGCAAATGACGGGAGTAATTGACAATAAATGAATTATATATATATATTTGGTGGAATTAATATCACTAATTTTACAACACTTACTGGAAAAGTTTACAATGAAATGAATACATTGGATACTTCTTCAATGACTTGGAAAAATTTAAACATAACTTAAAATCTTCCTCCACTGAACAGTGACTATTCAGCTAATATCTTACCAAATGGAATTATTGTTTATATTGGTGGACAAACTGAACTGGCACTCTTGTATAAATGAATAATGTATGTATTTTAAGTATAAACTGATGAATTATTGAATTATATTCGTAAATATTAATATATTATTGTCAATTAGATTAAACTCTTTGATACAAATAAAGTTGAATGGTCACAAATGGTATTTATTTGATATTAATTTATATAAAATGATTATAATGTAATAACTTATCAATTATATTTATTCCAAGGTTGCCACTGGTGATGATGTTGACTCAAGATGGTATTTTTCTTCTGTGTTAAGTAGGTATTTAAATGTTTTATTATTTCCGAAACATTAAAATTTATATTAAAGTAAAAATTTTTCATATAGTATCAGATGGACATATTATTATATTTGGGGGTTGTACAAAAAATCTTTCTAGTGTCGGCTCCAAGCTTGCAATATTAGATACAAACAAAAGTCCGTATGAATGGTCGATTCCGGGTAGTTCCAAAGTCAATTCTCCACCATCTATTTATGGACATACTGCAAATTTATATTATAACTATATGATAATTACATTTTGGTAAGTAAATAGATTTCATTAATCATTTTTCTATTATAGTAATGGCATGACATTTATCAAATTTTTTTAGGATACGACATAGATGATCAAATATATAATTCTCAAGTATACCTTTATTATATAACAAATAATACGTGGGTTACACGTTTTAACCCTCCTTCCCCTTCTACAAATTCCAACATACCTTGCCAGATTGGGCTTGGGCTTGGATTACGATTAGGTTTAGTGGTTTTGATCTGTATTGCAATATTTATTTATCGTAAAAGTCGAGTCCTTAAAATACCTGATAGCAATTGAGCATATTCATGAATTATGATTTTTATATTTAAATATTGACTCTTCATTTATATCGCATTATTTGAATCACCTCTTCCAAAACAATTTCCGTTTAATGTGGAACAATAAATAACATCTTTAATTTAATTATACTTAATTTAGTATCTTTCCTTAAATCTTCTCTTCCTTTTAAATTAAACGAAAATATGAAACTATTTAGAAAATCACTATTGGAATTTTTTATTTTTGATATTAAAATATAAATAAATTTTAATGAATATAAAATTAATTACACCAATGTAACTTTTACTATTTTAATTCAAAATTATATTGATATTTATTGTATATAACTTTTTTTGGATCATAACAATAATTTAAATTTCAAAATCTAAATTTAATACAAATAAAAAAAAATACTGAGAATAAATAACCTTTCATGAGCAAAATAAAACGCATTATTAATTTAACAATCATACATCAATATAAGGTACCTTAATTGCTGTCACTGTAATATAAACAAGAATCTTTTTACTTTTTTAAGATACCTGCAAAAAATAAATTTATAAATTTATCATTATAAATTCTTATACAAAAATAAAAAAATGAAGATTATTCCAAGAAACAATATAACTAAAATTTTTCTTCTCTTATTAATTAAACTTTCAATTAAAATTTCAGTACATCTAGGTGAAATATAATTCAATAAATAATAATAACATAACAGATCTAAATAATGGAATTTGATTGTTAGGAAATGAACTTGCTGAATTTGAATATTTAAATCTAACATTTTTATCAGGTCATGTTGCAATTATTCGAGGAGGTTATGGGATAACTAATACATAGTATTGATGAATTTATTATTATTAAATGCATGTAAAATATTTTGTATTTTTAAATTGCTGATAAAGTTCCCTGACTCGAGCCAATATTAAATTTTTTTTTTAAAAAAAAATAAATAAAATTCTAACATTTACCAGATTATTTAAGTTAAATGCTTGATATTAAATAAAATTATTCACACCATACATCAAACTTGTTCTCATAGGTATTACTTCATATTTATCTGTTACAAAAAACTCCTGATTATTTATTTGTAAACTTCCATGGCCACGTTTTTGATGACCTAATACCTCTTCAAATGGTAATTATTATGATAATATTGAAGTAGAAGTTTAAAGAATTTTATTTGAAAATAATAAGCATAATTTTTAAAATTTCAATTCTTTTCCTTTTTCTGCAAATGTGGCAGACCTCTTAATAGATTTTGTTCGTTTAGAGTCTTTCTTAAAGGTATGATTATTACTTGGATCATAATCGGTAATAGAAATATCGTCGCATCGTATCGAAAATCTATCCCAACCAATAAATATATAATGAAATTATCACTGACACTAATGTCTGAATTTATATAAATAATATAAATAATAAAATCAATATGAAATTGAAAATATATTTAAAATCGCTTGAAAATTTGTCAATTCCTTTTTTTTTAATTACAATCTTAGTAAAAGATTTGAATTTACAAAGGAAAGTTATTCTCATTGAAAATACAAATTAAAGAGAAATGCCAAAAACATCGGACTAGTATGTAAATACTTTAATTATACTTTTATTACTTTCATTATGTCTTACTTACTCTACTCTAATTCTATAAAAATTTTATTATTATTATTAGGATTTATCTAGAGCTTGAAATGAAAGAGAAAATGATAAGAATGTTGGAATTGAGATAAAAAGTAAGTATATCATATGTATGGTGTGTATTATTATAAATTTATAATCTTTATCTGTTAACATTTAGTCTTTTGATGCATAGAAAGAAGCAAGAAATCTCTTCGTTTTGACCCGATTGCTAAACTAAATACATATAAATTTTATTTTATTTTTATCATATTTCACATAAATATATACCTTGGTATGTTATTGTAAAGAATGAATAAGTGAAAATGGGTCCTAATAAGTTTTTTATTTAAAGTTTTATGTTTTTTTTTAAAAAAACAAAAGCGATTCAAATAACGTAAAAGAGTAATTAAAACGTATATACTGTACATCGAAAAAAATAATTCTAATTTTTTATTAAAAGTAATTAAATTTTATTTCTATTATTTTTGAATTCTGAATTCATGGGTTTCTGTAATTTCTTAATGTTATGTAATAATATAATAAATTTAAATTCCACTTATTGTTTCATTAATATTTTTATATATTATAAAGTCATTTATTTTATATAATTATTTTATTTCAAATTTCAACATATATGTAGAAGATGAATTCTTTCTTTACCAAACAATTTTATTATAATAGAGAATATTTTTGTTTAGAATTAATAAATTATGAAAATTATCGATAGTAATCCTAAAATAGTTAAGTAAAAGGAATTGCATTTAATCGATGAGCATAAAATAATAGACTTCGATTTTAAATTTATTCTTAAATATTTTATTCATTTAAAATTATAATTAACGTTAAAAACTATTATCTTCATTGTTTTTATCTGAAGTAAAAATATCAATGCAATAGATATTTGGTTAGGTATCTATTACCCACTTATGTAGAAAATTTTATTGGTCCATAATCAAACAGGTGATCGGAAATATGTGACAAATATCGGATGACATGAAAAATACAAGAAACAGATGTCTAAACATATTTTGGTGCATTAATAAAAGCCAATTTTACATACAATATCTACTTAAACTACTTAAACTCTAACCCTAACTCTAACACTAACGTTCATTAATTTCGTTCTCACGTGATAGACTCTGCTTTAGACGCTAAAGTATCGTTTTTGAGACACCTGCGGTTATTTTTTTTGATACATCAAATACGTGTGACAAAATGGTCATTTTTTTGATATGTTTATGATTTTATTTATAGATGCATCAAAAAAAATAATGATTTGTCACATGAAATTTGATTTATCAAAAAAATAACCATAAATATATCAAAAACAATACCTTTGCAACTCAAATTTCTGGTGATACTGTCTCACGTGTGTTTGTTTTAATTACTTATTTATCTATTTGTTTATTTAAATTCCTCAAAAAAATTTTTTTTTAAAAAAAATAAAATATCCACCTAAGTTAAGTGTTAATGAAAAAATCTTTTACAACTAAAAAAAAAATGTCATCAAAAATTTTTTACATATTGATTCTTATGATTTTCATTGTAAGTTTGCTGACATTAATTGTTAATGGATGTATGTATCATTTTTCTTTTACTTTTATTCTTTTAAATTAATTAAATTAATTAAATTAAATTTCTAATTTCAGCACCGGAACCCCAAGCTGATACTACCATTGTTGTTGGTACTAATACATATGTTTTTACTCCTGTCGATTCATCTTCCTTTCCGTCTTCCATTCCGTCTCCCATTCCGTCTACCCTTTCATCTTCTATTCCATCTACCTTTCCGTCTTCTATTACATCTACCTTTCCGTCTTCTATTACATCTACCTTTCCGTCTTCTATTCCATCTACCTTTCCGTCTACCTTTTCATCTACCTTCCCATCTACTCCAACTGCTTCCGCAACCGTAGTATCTACAGTTTCTACGTAAGTTACTTTCATTTATTATTTATTAAAAAAAATATATAATATTAATAAATCATTTATTTGAATTTTTTGAATTTATTATTTTAGTGGTGAACCATCGCCATCAGGAAGCGGTTCATCAGGTGCGCCTCCTTCCCCTTCCCCTTCCTCTAGTCTTCCAAAACTTTTAATCGCTTTTCTGATTGGGATTGGAACAGGAATAGGTGTAGTGGTTTTGATCTGTATCGCAATTTTTATTTATTATAAAAAAAAAAAAAGAGATGATGACAAAGTTCTTGAAATCCCTGGCAGCAGATAAATGCCAGAGATTTTGAAATTAGAACTAAAAATTTACATATTTCTAAATTACGGAAGATAAAAAAAAACTTGAATTATAATTGTTGGAATGGTCATATATACTAAACAAGTTTTCATAAATAAACGACGAACTTTGAAAAGGCACAAAATAAATTTTTATTAATTATTCTATAACCAAGTATCATAAGATGCCTTTCCTATTTAAAAGCGTAAGATTTTTGAAAATTAAATATATCCGTACACAAGCAACTAATATTAAAAATCAAGAGTTCGGATTAATTATATTTTTTTATCAATAATTATTATTTATATTTGCTTATTTTTTAAATAAATTATTATTATTATTAATTGGTGCAATAATCCATATCTGATATGATAAAGAAGTTGTTGATTTAGCTCCTAAAATTGCCCAACAAAAAGATTACATTTCAGTGAGTAATGAAATTCAAGATCAATGACTAAAGATGAATCTAATAAGAAACTAATTGTAAAAGAAGCTAATAATGTCTTTTAATCTATTTTGTCTGCAAGTCCAATTGCTCATATAAATGGTGATTTGTAATATAAGTCAATATAAGTTCATTCATTTTAATTTATTTTAAAAATTTATAAATATTTATTTAGCTTAAATAGAATATTCTTATTTATATTCTGCCATTTCGAAATAATATAAATGTCATATTATTTGTTATTCAAAACTGTAACTTTTATCAATGGTACATAATGGGAAACAAATAATTAAATAAATAGGAAATATTTTTATTATATAAATTGCATAAAAATAAAATAAAAATATTATATCGTTTATTTAAAATCAAACATAATTAATATTCTTGCCATATCATTTAAATTTTATTTTACGAGTGATAAACTCAATAGACTTCAAATGATTTACAGGTGCCCTCGTTCTTAAATTAAAGAAAGAAGAATATATCACTCTTGATGCAAAGTATTTTCGGAGATAAATGCAATAATAATAACTTTTCCAAATTGGTAGAAATATTTAAAAGTCTATTGAGTTTATCACTAAAGGTTGAGTTTCTAGATCAATACTCATCGTAGAAAAATATAAATGACATGACAAGAATAATATCTTTATTTTATTTTTATGCGATTTATACAATAAAAATATTTTCCTGTTTATTTATTTTATCTGTTTCCCATTATGTACCATTGATAAAGGTTACAGTTTTGAATAACAAATAATAATATGATATTTATATTATTTTGAATGGCAGAATATAAATAAAAATATTCCATTTAAATTAAATAAAATAATTTAAAAACTTTTAAAAAATAAATTAAAATGAATTAACCTAAAACAACCCACATTAACTTATATTACAAATCACCATTTATATAAGCAGTAGGACTTACAGACAAAATAGATTAAAAGAAATTATTAAATTCTTTTACAATTAGTCTCTTATCAGATTCATCTTTAGTCATTAATCTTGAATTTCATTACTCATTGAAATGTAATCTTTTTGTTGAGCAATTTTAGCAGCTATATGATTCCCATTAGATTATTGCACTAATTAAAAATATAATTAATTTAATAATTAATAAACAAATATAATAAATCCGAGAATGATCGACAATAAAACTGATTTTAATATTGCTGTATTAAATTTAAATTTCAAAAATATTACGCTTTTAAATAGGAAAGAGACATCTTTTGATACTTGATTATAGAATGATTAATAAAAATTTCTTTTGTTCCTTTTCAGAGTTCGTCGTTTATTATGAAAACTTGTTTAGTATATATATGACTATTCCAACAATTATAATTCAAGTTTTTTTTTCTTCCGTAATTTAGAGACATGTAAATTTTTAGTTCTAATTTCAAAATCTCTGCATTTATCTGCTGCCAGGGATTTCAAGAACTTTGTCATCAACATCTCTTTTTTTTTTTTTATAAAAAATAAAAATTGCGATACAGATCAAAACCACTACACCTATTCCCGTTCCAATCCCGATAAGAAAAGCGATTAAAAGTTTTGGAGGACTAGGGGAAGGGGAAGGAGAAGGGGAAGAGGAAGGGGAAGGTGAAGATGAAGGGGAAAGGGAAGGGGAAAGGGAAGGAGGCGCTCCTGATGAACCGCTTCCTGATGGCGATGGTTCACCACTAAAAATAATAAATTCAAATAATTCAAATAATTAATTTATTAATATTTTATATTTTTTTTTCTAAGAAATAATAAATAAAAATAACTTACGTAGGAGAACCAGCTGCAGAACTGATAGGTGGAGGTGGAGTAGGTCGAGCTGCGGAACTGGTAGGTCGAGCTATAGAACTGGTAGGTGAAGTTACGGAACTGGTAGGTCGAGCTATAGAACTGGTAGGTGAAGTTACGGAACTGGTAGGTGAAGGACTATAGAAAAAATTTATTAAATCGTTAAATTTTATTACTTAAATTATTAAATTATATAAAGTTAAATTAGAAAAAAATTACTTCTGGGCAACAACGGCAATAATAATAAGACAGAAGATAGCAATAAAGATAAATGTCTTTGTGGCGAACTTCATTTTCATTTATTCAAGCTACAATATTATTTTAATATTTATATATACTCTATATTTAAATATTACTATTATTTTTCAAAATTCGAGATAATTAAATAACTTTTGATAGAAACCTTATCAAGAGGAAATGGGTCTAAATAAAAGAGAAAAAAGAGAGATGAAAATTGAGGCCAGTATTTATTAAAAACATAAACATGGAATCGTTTCTTGTTACTCGGTCTTAGAATTATACATTCGATTATCTATGTCGTATCCTAAAAAAATTTGATATTATTACACAATTAAAATTGAATTAAAAAAAGAATAAGAAATGCATCATTTGAAATATGGGCTGATTTGGCTCCATTCGATTTCGAATATTTTTTGATGTACAAAAGTCAAGTGCACAACAATTTACAATAAAATGAGGGAATTTTCTCGTATAAAAAATTTTAGTTATCAAGTCTTTATTACTTTGAAGTATATTACCAATCGGTTCCTAATCGGTTTGATGAATCATTAAGGAATCAGTTAATAATTTGAATAAATATATTTACTGATTCTTTAACTGTTAAAATAGTTAATTTATTAATTATTATTTCTCTACTTTATTAGGCTTTAGATACATAGTTCATATTTTAGTAAAATTAGAACTTTTGTTACTCAAAATTTGTACTTATTTGATTTATGTCATGTGCAATTACATAATCACATATACAATTTTGGATCAACCCATTTGTAAAGTATAAAATTGGAATTAGGTCATAATACGAAAAATTTAATATTTCTCCACAAATTTGGGGATATTCAGCTAGTATTTTACTATTGTCATATTAGTGGAAATGAAGAATAAAATAAATAAATATATTATCAATTATGATTAATTCTAATGATGATGTGATTTCTATTCCATGTTAAGTAGGTATCCGATCTTTTATTATTTCCGAAAAATAAAAAATTTATACTAAAAGTACTGTAAAAACTTCATATAGGTATTTTTTTTATCTCACGTCACGTTTATTAATTTGGTCACTCGTGGTTTTTACAGATTATAAAATATTTTCACGGGCAAATTTGGTTTTAACTAATTGAATTAGCAAATATAGGTGATTAACAATATCGATTATAAAAAATATCGATTATAAAAAAAAAATTTAACGATCATCATGAGCGTTAGTCTCCGTGTATAAATCGGATCGGTATTACCATAAATATCACAATCATTACGGCTAATCGCCGTGATGATTGATGGTATCTCCCGTGGTATTAACATATTGTGGGGTCGTTAATCTGCAAACTTTACTTAATACTTAGATTACACATTTTGACCCTCCCCTTCCCCTTCTTCGCCTCAAATTTTACTGATTGGACTTGGAACAGGAATAGTTGATCTTTATTGCAATTTTTGTTTTTTTTTCTTTTACAAAAGGAGATATAATTATAAAAAATTTTGCGCGAATTGCGTCTTTTAAATCATAATTTCATTGTTAAATGCTGTTATATACTGTATTAGCGACATTAAAATCCACTAAATATATATATTATTCCTAAATCATTAATTACTCCAGTCATCGCCAGTTAGAATTAGAATCATATTTATAAACATCCTTCCTCCAATTAGAAATATTTTTAGAATTATCTAGACTAACTATAGAAGCTGAACCACGTCAATATAGTAAGCTTGTATTATCAAATGACTTTGATAAATCCAAATAGAAATTCATACGTAAAGTTGATATAAAAAAAACTATAATATAAAAATAAAATAGGATTTATTTGATTTTTTTTTCCTTTTCACATACGTTTCGTTTGGTGAAATGAACACGTGTTTTAAGGAAATACATATCCAAGAGGATATATGATATAAGAATTTAATTACGAATGAAATTGTTTTCTTATTTGATTGAACACTTACGCCGCTGCCATCGACGCACCTTATGAAAAGTATTTTTTTTTTTTTTTTATTACATTAACAATAAAGTCAAAGATTGGGACTATGTAGGTAGCATTCATAATTTTAGTTATTCATCGTTTGATTTAACATTTTACAAAAGAAATATATATATATATATATACTGTATATATTGTTATTAATTGTTATATTTATTGTTATTATTTATTTTTTTAAGAATGTTCATGGAGTAAAAAAATAAAATAAAAACAAATTAAACAAATTCTACACTTTAAAAAAATATATTCCAAAAACTATTTACAAAATAAAAAGAAAAAAAAATAATGATAATAATAATAACTTTCTCTAATAATATTTAAAAAAAAAGGATTGAATATGATAAAGAAAGAGAGAACGTAATGTAGATAAATAATAAATAAATTAAATAAATATAAAATAAATAAATGTAAAAAATAATCTAATTGGTTAATACAGCATAATACAGTTCTAAATCATAAGGTATTCTCCTCTACATAATATGATTTTTTTTTTTTAAAAAAAAAAAAAGAAAAAAAATATCACACTCGAAGAATTACCAATTTGTAAAAAAGGTTAGTCGTGGATATAATCATATATAATATAATATAAAAAAAAAAAAACCTATTTTCTTTTAAAAAACTTTATCTTGTGTTATCAGATAAAGATATTATTAAGGGTATATATGTATAATAAAAAAGGAATAAATAATATCTAAAAGTGATTTTAAGATATTAAGAAATTAAATTAGGTAAAAAAAATTTTTTTTTAAAAGATGATAGATAAATAAAATAAAATACTTTTAGGGGATATTTAAAAAAAATTTCTAATTTATTTTTTATTATATTATATTATAGGTATTTGGATAGGGGGTTCAATAATTTTTTTTTTCTAAAACCGATCTATATCATTATCATTTAATCCATCCTTTTTAGAGTGAAAAAATACTCTTTTAATGGTAGTGTTGGTAAGAATCTGATAAGTAAAGATAGAAAAGGAGAACAAGTGAAGGAAAATTAGTATTAAAGAAAGAGAATAAAAAAAAAATATTGCATATTAAGAATGAATTAATGAATATATTACTTACTTGAAGAAATTGAACTAGGATTTTTAATGGTTGAAGATAAACTCTTTTCATCAACTGTTATATAAGGACTTAAATTTTGACTAGTAAATATTTCGGTGGTATTGGTTAAAGTATTAAAAGCAACATCCGTCATTTTTGATTGTCGTTTATAATTTTGATGACGTTTCTTTGATAAGGTATTACATTTCTTTAATTCAGTCATTATATTTTTAGTTTCACTTTCACTTTGTAATTTAACTTTAGGGATAGACATTGATAATATCCAACCATCAATTATTTCTCTTATTATACGAGCACTTGGACGATTTGATGGTTCGGGATCCCAACAACGTCTAATGAGATCCGCGTAAAATTGAGGCATTGACCTTCGATCAATTGGAGGTCTCACATCTTTACATATATCAGATACTAATCTTTCATCAAAATTATAATTCTTAAAAGGAGTTTGACCAACAGCTATCTCCCACATTACCAAACCAAAACTATAAACATCTGAAGCTTTAGTATAATATCCAGTATTAAAAACTTCTGGTGCAACATAAGGCATTACACCATATATTTCTTGAATTTCGAATTTATTATTATTATAACATAAAGATAAATCCAATATACATTCACGTTCACGGGAATTTTCGGATAATAAACCTAATCCACTTATGAATTTACGTAATCGATTTTTTATTGGAGGTGATGAATTTTTAGGTAATTTCTTTAAAATATTTCCGGTATGTAAATCCCCATGTACGAATTCACGTGAATGAAGTACTTCAAGTGATTTGGCAATATCTCTTATCATATATACTTTATCGGACCAAAGTAAAGCTGAATGATTTCCTCGTAAATAACTACGTAAATCACCTTCCTCACCATATTCCATTACCAACATGTAACCTTCTGTTGGATGTAATGTCATACCGTAACAACGAATTACAGAAGATTTTTGAGACGCAGCATAGACAAACATTGCGATCTATCATATTATTAATTAATAAAAAATATTGTGTGAGCGTGTGTGTGTGTGTAAAAGTAATGTAAAAAGAGAAAGAGAGAAAATATAAGAAAAATAATAAATATAAACAAACCTGTTCCCTTAAGAATTCCGGATCCGAAGTTCGACCATTATGTAAACGTTTTAATACTACATCAACAACTTGACCAGTTTCAAAATGATCCCAAAGTGCGGAATAAACTGCGGAGAAACCACCATTGGCCATATAACGAACTTGAATTAAATCATCATAAGGAATCCATGACAAATAACCATTCTTATTTAAAGGTTTTAATTGACTTGATTGTATAAAATTATCAATAAATTGATTTCCACTTGACCAATTATTAAAATTTTGTTGTAATTTTTGACCTTCACAAAATTGACACCAAGATTTATCGGATAAAGGATAACCACAATTTAAACAAACGCCATAACGTTTTTTTCGTTGATTTAATTCTTGTGGTGTGGTAGGTGACGAAAAATCGAATTCCACACTTTCAGATACACTCGTTAATATATCTTTTTCATTTTTAGTATTAATATTCTTTTATTAATAATCATTATTTTTGAATAATAATGTTTTTTTTTGTTGTTATTAGGAATAGAATTGTTGTTGTTGTTAGGGATAGAATTGTTATTGTTGTTAGGGATAGAATAATTGTTGTTAGGAATAGAATTGTTGTTGTGAAAAGAATTTTATTGAGAATAAAATAGAATTAAATTGTGAATGAATAAAAAATAAAAAGAAATCATTTAAGTAAAAGAAATAAAAATAATAACGATACAATAATAATAATAATAATAATAATAATAATAAAATAATTACCTTTGATCGTTTGGAAAACGAAAGACAACAAATAAGTGCAGCAAGTCTATTCATATTCATGATTTAAATTATCTAAATTCTAATTTTAGGGAAGTCTATTAAAGTCGGTCTAGTTTGTCTTGGCAGGGAATATGATAAGAAAAATGTTTATATTATTATAAATATTATTTCACCCTGTAAATAAATAATAAAGGTTGTTATAAAATAATAATATAACAATCAAAATTGTATATATAACGTTAAATTAAAATGAAAAGAATTTTTTTCTTGAATGAAAGATTAAGTAAAGTAAAGATGCACCAATAAAGAGAAATATTGAAGTATCAAAAAAAAAAAAAAAAAAAAATGGTAGAAAAAAAAAACGTAACATACTTATATAAATTTTTAACGGCTGGGTACTTCCGTTCACCCACCTAAAGATTACTGGTACAATATATAAAATTTATACATCAAAAAATTTCTGGTTTTTTATTATAAATTTTTTTTTTATGTTAGGTTTAGCTGTGCCACCGCATGATTGACTTACATATTAACTATTAAAGTGAAATAAATTAAATAAAATGAAATTATTTATAAAGTGAATTATGAATTATTTTTTAGAATTAAAGTTTTTGATGGTAATTATGATGGGTGATGATTGTTACTTTATAATTATTTATTATCGAATTGAATGATTGAATATAAATAAGTAATGATTGATCATATTTTATTTATTTATTTATTTATTTATTTTAACGGTACATTTAACGGTCGGTCATTCATAAATATTTTATTTTATTAGTTATTATTATTATCATCATTAGTTATTATTATTATTATTATTATCATTAGTTATTATTATGTTATGCTTTGATAATCCTTAAATCCACATTGTTTTGCTTTTTGTTTATTTGCAGGTCAATTTACGTGGTGTAAATATTTAGTAAGTTCCATAAGTTAAATACATAAGTTAAATAATCGAGTATGAATGAGTCATGGGTTATAAGTAATGAGCACGAGTTAAAAGAATTGAGCAAATGAATTGGTTTATAATTTCAAGAGTTCATAATGTGCAAAAAATAAAAAATAATTAAAATAAATTTTAAATAATGATGTTAATAATAGTAATAAAAAAGTAACAATTATGTCTGCAAGTTCGTTACATATTATCAAGTTATTATTGTCCGGTGGTTGTTTCTTTATTTATTTATTTCTAATATTTGTTTCACGTTTGGTTTCACCACCATAAAAAAAGAATAAATCGAAAAGTACACATTTCATTTTAATTACTTATTGAGATTTGAATGGAGCTTTGAATGCGATCTATTTATTCTATGTACTATGTTTTTTATCCACATTGAAAACCAGAAAATATTCCTTTATATTATTTGTAACAATTATAAGCACCACCATTTTTTCTAAAATTAAAAAATTATTACTATTAATAAATATTAATTAATAAATACTATTAATATATTACTAATATTATAATATGTAACAATATGTAACGTATTATTTTTTCTTACATATTATATAAATATTATCCAATCCAATCAATTTATAAAACAGAAGCGACATATTTCGTCATTCGTCATTTATAACAATTTTAATAAAACAAATAATATTAAAAATCTATAAAAATAATATTAAATTAAATAAAAAATTATTATTATTATTATTATTATTATTATTATTATTATTATTATTATTATTATTAAATAAAATAATATTAATTAAATAAAATAATAATTTGTGTAGTCCTGTTTATTTCTGAAAAAGAATAACATTATATAATTATACATTAATTATATACCATTTATATTCTTTATATATATTCATTAAAAGGCGGCGATTTTTTTTTTAACATTACGGTATAATTAGTATATTTTATATTATTTGTATTAAATATAGATACAGTATATGCATCCCCGCACAGTAGTTTTTTTAAGAAAAACTTTATTAATTAATTACTCGTTTTTTTTTCTTAAAGCTATTCCTATTTTGACTATTATAATTATTGTTATTATTATTATTTTATCTTTTACGATTATTTTCTTATCAGTAACAAAAATAATCAAAATCTATAATATTAATCAAGTAAAATCTTAATAATAATAATAATATTAACTTTGTGCCGTGTTACAATATTTTTGTGGCTACATATATGCTGTAATATATTGTAATGTATGATATTTATATATGTTCTTTATATATATATATGTATATATATATGTATATATATATGTGTAATAAAATGATATCAATAATTTTGCATTATGAAAATTTATTAATAATCCGAAGAATCCTTTATGAACTTTTAACACAATTTATCCCGTGATAATGTTTCAACACAATTACACATATTATATATTTACGAAAAAAATCCAACAATTTTATTCGACACATGAAACGAATTTACGGAAATGATCCGGTCATTCTCCTTGTTTTTCAATTCATTTTAAAAAAATGGAAATAAAAATAAAATGAAAAATAAATAAATAAACAAGAAATAAAAGAATGAAGAAAATGGTTATAATGGAGAAGGAAACAGATGAAAATTATTTTCTTTGTTCTTTTATTACATAATAAATTTTGGATATGTACATAAATAGAAACTATTATTTTTAATTACTCTCGATAGTGCAGTTATAATGTGATAACACAATAATCTGATAAAATGTAACAATTCAAAATAACGTAATATAATGAATTGATGCAAAGGAGTGAGAGAATGAAAAATTTAATGCATAAATAATACTTAAATAAATCTGTACATTACATTTTACTGTACATTGTATAAATAACTGAATAATCTCTAAAAAAAACAGATGTGTTCTTTCGAAAATCTCTTTTTAGAATTATTATTTTTTTTGTTGTTTCTAGTTTACAGAAGTTTGTTAAATAATTGTCTATTTATATATTTATGTATATATATATATATATTTATTTATTTATACATTATATATATTCTATTTATTTATATATACATTATATATATATTCTGTTTATTTTTATTTATTTATATACATTCAGTGGATTGTATCCGTAAATATTATATCGTAAGATTTTAAGGTTATCGATAACGAAGGAAATTTTAACAATTATCTATTCACAATTGTATATTTCATTCATTCATTCGCTTATTTTACATGTCATTTTGGTTTTTTTTTTTTTTTAAGTTTTTACCGCATGACAAAAAATGAAATTTTAGGAAAAATTTCGGCCCATCTTTATTTATTTACTTATTTTACATAATTATTTTCTTGTTTTTTTATTTATCATTTATTTACCATCATCATTTATTTATTATTATCTTCATCATTTATTTATTATTATCCTCATCATTCATTTATTATTACCCCCATCATTTATTTATTTTTTTATCATCATCATTACAAATGTTTGATTTTCTACTTACGTTAGTATACAAATTTGGACAACAAGTATAAAATGTCAAAAGTGAGTAAGAATAAGTAAAATGTAAAGTGTGTTGTAAAATTTGAATTGGCGGCCAACTTAATTGAAATTTCCTAATTTGAAAATACGTAAGAAGCATGACATGACTTTCATGAATTGGGTAATTTATTAGCAAATTATATTTGTTATCTGTTATTAACAAAAAAAAATTAAATAAAATAAAAGTGTTTCTTTTAAAATCAACTAGTGAAGATGGAGTGAATTAGTAAATATCTGATATATAAATAAATGGTTTAACAATTATGAAATTACCTTATTTGTCAAATTCGAATTATGATGAGCATGCTAATTTTGGGTTAATAAATATAATAATTGAAAAATCAAATTAAGCAATTGAATAATTTTAAAAACAATGAAAAAGTATAACAAAATGAGAAATTTATATATTAATCTTACCCGAAATTCAATTCCTTTGATTTTTGAGGATAGCTGTGAAACATAAATATACTTAATGAATACAATTCGGTCTCGTGACGATGTCTCCTTTTTATCGTTAATCCCTTTTTCAAATTAGTTGAGAGTTGAGTTATCTCAAAATTACGTAATTAATGATTTTAATTATGATTTCAATTACATTAAATTGATCTTTTATTCTTCTTTATTCTTTAATCCTACCTTTTTCTCTCCTTACCTTTTCTTACTTCTTCTTCTTCTTAACTCTTGATTTTTCGCTTTTTTTTTTTTCATTGGAAATTTTTATAAAAAGAAAAGGACAAAAAAAAATGGTAGATAATTTTCCAAATGAATTGATGCTTGAAATCTTAAACCACGTATTGAAAGATACTGAGTAAATATTAATTTAATTTAATTTACTTCTTTATTTTAAAAATCACGAAAAATAAGGATAAATTTGTTACATTTTTTTTAACGATCCATTTATTTATTGTAATCTTTTTTTTTTTTTGAAAAAAAAAGAAATTTTCATGTGATTAATTTAATTATTATTATTATTATTATTATTGTTAATTATATACAAACATCTGCACATATAGCTTTCTAAAATTTTTTAATTTACGAAGAACTTGCAAGAAGTGGAACGATTTTGTTCCGGTGGTTATTAATGATGAATTAACTCGAAATCTAAAACGCAAAATTAGAGTGGCGGTATGATTATTTATTTTTATTTTATTTATTTTTCATTTATTTATTTTATTATTTAATTTATTTATTAATTAATTTTATAATCTAGCCATTTGCAAAATCTACTGCGCATGTATATATATTCATGTCTTGTAAGTTATTAACATTCGATGAAGCGAATAGACAAATTATCTTTGTTTTTGAGAATAAAACATTCAATTATAATCCAAGTGAACATCTTTGCACGGATTTTTGGTTAAGAATTGAAGATTCTTTCTTATGTGAAACTTATCACAAACATAATGATGTTAATAATAATAATAATAATAACAATAATGATAATAATGATAATAATAACAACAATATTATTATTAATAATATTACCTATAACAACAACAACAACAACAATGACAACTATCACCGTATCATCAATAACTTCAATAACATTAATAACTTCAATAACTATAACAATAATAATATCATTAATAATAATATTATTAATAATAATATCATTAATAATAATATTATTAATAATAATGTTATTAATAATAATGAATATTATCAAGAATTTGGAAACGAAAAAACATTTCTCAATTTAAAATATTTGGAGGAGGAAGGAGTTTATTTGATTACCGAACTGAAAATTGATGCGAGGAGATTTTTTAGAAAGTTGGATAAAGAATTAAGATTACTTAAAAGGAGAAGATTGGAATTTGGTAAATTTCAGGATAGAATTGAAAAGGTTGTTAATTAATTAATTAATTAATTAATTAATTTAATTATTTGATTTTTTTATTTATTTATTTATTTATTCATTCATCCATTCATCAAATTGTTGAAATATTATTATAAAAGAAAAGAAGAAAATAGAAGAAAAAGAGGAGAAATAAGAAAAAGTAAATCATATAATACAATCGTTATAATCTAATAGTGTAATAATGTATATATTTAGTTAATTTTTTCAAATAAAATAATTTTTTTTTTTAATAAACAGAAAAAAATTTTAGATTTTCAGTATCTTTCACACATTAATATTAATATTCTAAAATAATACCATTTTAAAGATTTTAAAATTGAATATTTATTTGCATAATTACCGAAAACAATTTATCTTTAATGAAAAATAAAAAATAAAAAGAGAAAGATCGTTAGAAATCTTTACAGATGACAAACATTTAGGCAGATTTGATTCGTGCTTCATGTCAGAACGGTCAATTATTATAATGGAAATAGTAAAAAATTATTTTTTTATGATTTTTTTGAAAAAGATGATATTTTTGCTGTTTTTTGGTATTATCTTGATTATTTCAAATATAGGTTCTAAATAATGCTTATCTGAGTGGGATCTTTGTAAACTGTTTCACAAGTTCTCTTTCTGGGTCGGGTCTATTTTAAGATTTATTTTAAATTGCATTCATAGAGATAAGGAAGATGTATTTTACAAATAGAGCTATATATTTATTATATTTATTGCTTTTTTTCCTTCAATTAATAATTCCTTATATTCTTGAATTTCCTACTAATTATTTTATATCGTTCTTTTTTTTTAAAAAAGGAAATAATTTATGTTTGGGATATCAAACTTTATAGATATATCAATCATTAAAAGTTTTCTTGCTTGATACGTATTATTCTTTTTAAGGAATTCTTGCCTATTTTAATCTGTGACAATAAATGATGATCAGAATTTTATAACCAATCAATAGACAACGTTCTTGCAAATCGTGTTATCTAATTTTTCTTTTAAAAAGTTTTTTAAATCAGTTTTTTTTTTTTTTTTTTTACTTCTATGATTAATAATAATAATTATAATAATAATTTATTAATTATTTTGATAATTAATTAGAATAATAATAATAATTATAATAATAATTTATTATTTGATAATTAATTAGAATAATAATAATAAAGATAATCATGAAATTTGGGAAATATATTAAACAACGTACAGATTTGCTTCCACAAGATTGGAAGAATATTTGTATCGATTATGGAAATTTAAAGACTTATATCAAATCTAATATTACTCCAAATACTTTAAAACTTGAATTATCTCAAATGGTATGGAAACCTTCAAATGAAGACCAATCAAATTTCATTCAATTAGTTTCTACTCGTTTAGGTGAACTTCAATTAAAATCAAAAGAATTTTTTGAAGAATTAGATTCAGAAATACAAAGAGTTTCAGATTTTTTTATAAATCAAACAAATTCTCTTATCAATATTTATGAAAAGAACGAAGGTGTTTATTCCAATGAATATGATCTTGCGGATTTATTACAATCAATCATAAAATTAGAAAAATTTGTTTTCCTTAATTACACAGGATTAGTTAAAATATTAAAAAAACATGATAAGTGTTCTGGATTAAATTTTAGTCAAGCTTATCTTTATCGAATTGCTTCCCTTCCATTTGTAAATTCTGGAAAACTTTCATCATTAAAAAAGACTTTAATGGAAAAACTGGTAGAAAATACATCCCCCAATTTAATTTTGTCACCTACTAATGGTAATGGTGGTGTTGATGGTGATGTTATTAATCGTCTTCCTATCACCGAACTCGTCAACAATTCAACAAAAAACGCTTTAGCAAAAAATTTATCAAATTTCTTAAAATCAAATTTTGTTCCATCTCCTGATAGTTGGTTTCCCCCAGCAGCATTATTACCTCATCAAAAAGTTTTAATTTCTTTAACTGGACCTCATGGAACAGATATTATTGGTTGCGTTTTAGATTGTATGGCTAAACATGATTGTGAAATTGAAGATTTCATGTTATCAAGATTATATCATAATGTTACATTTGGAGTTTTGGTTGTACTTAAATCTGATAATGTGGATTTATTTCGTGATCTCGCTGAAGCATCAAGGAAATGGGATGGTACTTTATCATTTGATGTTCATGGGCATCAAGATAATTTACCAAAATCTATTGAAGATGCACCATATGAAAATCGTATTAAATATACTTCCACAGTATTAAATCAAAATGGACTTTCGGCAAAATTTCTAGATTCTTGGACGAAATTATTACTTCGAGAAAAAATTTCAGTTGAAAGAATGCAAAGATTGAATGAAGGAAGATTATCATGTGCTGATTATAAATTATCGATTCCGAATGGAACGGATTTTGAATCTTTAAGACAAGAATTATTTCAGTTAAGTATGAATCATGGAACAGACGTGGCTCTTCAACCTGATGATGTATTTAGAAGGCATAAGAGATTGGTTGTATTTGATATGGATTCTACTTTAATACAACAAGAAGTTATTGATGAAATTGCTAGATTAGCAGGTGTGGTTCATGAAGTGGCAGTAAGTTTATAGCTATTTATTTTTATAATTCTTAATTTACCAATTTTCCTAATTTTTCTAGAAATTTTAATAATATTTTCTATCAATTCATCAAATTTTTAATTATTAATTTTTTTTTAAGGCAATCACGGAATCTGCCATGAACGGTGAAATTGATTTTAAAGAATCTTTAAGGCGTCGTGTTTCTTTATTAAAAGGAACACCTGTAAGTGTTTTACAAACCGTCAAAGATAATCTCGTTTATACGGAAGGTGCAAAATCTCTTTGTAAAGCGTTAAAAAAAATAGGATTTAAATTAGCCGTTATCTCTGGTAAATATTTTAAAGAAGATTCTTCAATACTTTTATCATCTTTTAACATTTTTTATTCTTTATTATAGGTGGGTTCATTCCCCTCGCTAGACACGTGAAAAATGAACTTGGGTTAGATTATGCTTTTGCCAATCAAGTAATTATAAGATATATAAATATATATTCGATTTTTTATTTTATAAAATATTAAATACATTCTTTATCCTTTACTTCCGTTTTTTTTATGCATTTATTTTATATAGTTAAAAGTTTCAGCCAATGGTGAATCATTTACAGGAGAACTTTTAGGATCAATCATTGATGGAGAACGTAAAGCAGAATTATTAGAAGTTATAGCTCAAGCAGAAAATGTAACATTAGATCAAGTTATTGCAGTTGGAGATGGAGCAAATGATTTATTTATGTTGGCAAAAGCTGGATTAGGTATAGCATTTAATGCTAAACCACGTGTGCAAGAAAAGGTAATAAATTATCAAAATTTCCCAAGTTATTGATAAAATTTTATGTTAAAATTGAAATTAAATGAAATAATTTTTATTTTTCTCTCTCCCACTCTCTTACTTTTTTTTAAAAAAAAAAAATAAAAAGGCAAGTACAAGAATTAATCAGAAGAGTCTTAAATACATTTTATACCTTTTAGGATATACAGATGATGAAATTAAAAACCTACAATATTTTAATAATTAATTATAAATTTTGGCTCTCTAAATAATAATACTTTTAAAATATTATAAACATCAACATATCATTAGCAAGAAGGTAAATGTAATAATAACAATAACAAAAATAGATCAGTAAACCTTTCTAATTATATTTTGTTATTAACGTAATATCTATATTCAATCTCACATAATAACAATGATTATATCATAAAGTAATTTTTATTATTAATTTTTAGAATACTATATTAAATAATTATTATTTTTAAAAGAATAATAAATTTATTTATGAAATAAAAAAAAAAATCTCATTGAATGTCACTGTGGTCAAAGTAGTTGTTTAATAGAAACTTATGAAAAATGTAGTTGGGAGCAAGTTGAAATAAGAGCATTTGATTTGATGGAATCAGCAGCTGACACTAATTTATGATAATTTATGATGAAACCGCATGGTAAAGAAAAAAACTTTTCTCACAATAAAAGGCTTTGAAAAAAAAAGAATATTTAGCACTCTCAAACTCATTAAATTCATTTTACACATTTAATATATTTGTCATCCCAATAAAACAGAGCTTCTTATTTTTTCTATGCCTTTTTATTAATTATTTATTATGTAATAAGCTGGATAAAAATGCGTAAGAAAATTATTTGACAAAAAATATCAACTAACTTGGCAAATTTCTTTGTGGAAACTGTAGATTTCAATATATCATACATATATACTCCTTACACAAATCACAACTTAATTAAAAATTGAAACAATAATGATTATTAATAACAAAATATTACAGTATATACTTGAAATTAAAGAACTAAAACTATTTGTTAAATATTTTATATATGTAAGAAGATTTATTGTTATAAGATCGCGCTGTTCCAGCTATCTTAAGATCGACCTTTTTAAACTTTTTACGAAAAATAAAAATTGTAATATATATCAAAATTGTTATACTAAGCCCAATCAGTAAAGGTTTTAAAAACTTTGGAGAAGTAGGAGGGGAAGCATTAAAACTTGTAACCACGTATTATTTTTATATAATAAGATATACTTTAGAATTATTTATTTCGGTATCTGCGTTCCATCCTAAAAAAATTGATATATGTCATTACTAAAAGAGAAAAATGATTAGCGTAAATATTGAAATCTATTTACTTACCAAATGTTAGATGGAAATACTTTTATTTGTATATAACACTGCAAGCTTAGGGTTGACACGAAAGATTTTTTGTACAACCCCCAAATATAATAATATGTCCATCTGATGCTATATGAAAAATTTTTACTTTAATATAAATTTTAATGTTTCGGAAATAATAAATAATTTAAATACCTACTTAACATAGAAGAAAAAATCCATCTTGAATCAATTTCATCACCAGTGGCAACCTTAAAATTAAATATAATTAATAAGTTATTATATTCATTTTATATAAATTAATATAAAATAAATACCATATATGACCATTCATCTTTTTGTATCAAAGAGTTTAATCTATTTGACAATAATATATTAATATTCATGAATAGGATTTGAATAAATCAGTTTATATTAAAATTACTTACATTTTTCATTTTTACAAGAGTATCATTGTCTTGTCCACCAAAATAAACAATAATTCCATTTGATAAAATACTAGCTGAATAATCAGCACTCAGTGGAGGAAGATTATTAGTTATAGTTAAATTTTTCCAAGTCATTTTAGAAGTATCCAATGTATTCATATCATTAAAGTGTTGTTAAATTACCCATAATTCCACCATATATATGTATAGTTCCGCTATTGTCAATTACTCCTGTCAATTGCTGCCTGATAGGATACTATCGCCATTAATTGATGGTGTAGTCCATTTAGGATTAAGGTAATCATATGTAAAAACTTGAATAATCATAATCGAGTGTAGTTTTATTTCGAATATTTCCTCCAATTAGAAATACTGTAGAATTGTCTAAACTAACGATAGAAGTTGGAGCGTACGTATATATAGGAAGATTTCCTCCGCGAATTAAATTCAATGATTACGTTGTATTATCTGTATTATCAAATGACTTTGATAAATCCAAATATAATAATTCAGACGACTGAACATAATTCATTTTAGTACCACCAATAAAGAGACGATCATTTATTATTACAGTATCGTGATAAATTCTTTTACTTGAATTAACTCAAATGGTATGAAAACCTTTTTAAAATCAGCCAAATTTCGCTCGATTAATTTTGAATTTCAAAAGTTTCAGATTTTTTCATCAACCGAATTCTCTATCAATATTTATGAAAGGAACAAATTGCTTATTATTCTAATATTCCAATAAATATGATCTATTACAATCAATCGTTAAAATATTAAAAAAAATAACTTGATCTGGTCTATCAAATTGCTCCTTTCCATTTGTAAGTTCAAAAAAAACTTTCATCATTAAAAGGAAAAACTTTAATTTGTCACCTACTAATAGTAGTGATGTTAATGTCATTAAACGTTGAACTCGTAAACGGTTCAACAACGAATGCTTTAGAAAAATTTTCTTAAAATCAAAATTTGTTTCATCTCATTTTCCCAGCAGCATTATTACCTCATCAAAAAGTTTTCATGAGACAGATGTTATCAACATTATGTACTTAAATCTGATAGTGCGGATTTATTTCGTGATCGAAGACCCACCATGTATTAAAATATACCTCCACAGTATTAAATCAAAATGAACTTTCAGCAAAATTTCCAGATACTTGGACAAAAATTTTTTACTTCGAGAAAAAATTTTAGTTGAAAGAATGCAAAGATTGAATTATAATGTACTGATTATAAATCATCGATTACGAATGGAACGGATTTTGAATCTTTAAGACAAAAATTATTTCAGTTAAGTATGAATCATCGAATATACGTGGATCTTCAACCTGATGATGTATTTGATATAGATTCTACTTTTATACAAGAAGTTAGTGTTGAAATTGCTAGATTAGCAGTGATTTAAATTAGCCGTTATCTCTGGTAAGTTTTTTTTTTTTAAAAGAGAATTCTTCAATACATTCAACATATTATAACACCCTTTTTTATTTATTATAGATGGGTCGCTAGACACGTGAAATAATAAACTCGGGTTAGACTATGCTTTTGCTAATCAAGTAATTATAATATTTATAAAATATATGTTCGATTTTTTATTCTATAAAATATTAAATACATTTTTTATCCTTTATTTCCGTTTTTCTATACATTTATTTATTAAGTTAAAAGTTTCAGCCGATGGTGAATCATTTACAGGAGAACTTTTAGGAATTATTAGCTCAAGCAGAAAATTTAACATTAGATCAAGTTATTGCAGTTGGAGATGGAGAAAATGATTTATTTATGTTGGCAAAAGCTGGATTAGGTATAGCATTTAATGCTAAACCACGTGTGCAAGAAACGGTAATAAATTATCAAAAATTTCCCAAGTTATTTTTAAATTTTATGTTAAAATTGAAATTAAATGAAATAATTTTTATTTTTTACCTTACCTTTCTTTTTTAATATTATATCTTTTAGGATATACAGATGATGAAATTAAAAACTTACAATATTTAATAATAAATTATAAATTTGACTCTCTCTCAATTTAAAATACTATAAGCATCAACATATCATTAGTAAGAAGGTAATTATTTTTTATCACACAAAAATAAATATAATTATAATAACAACAAGAATAGATCTAATCTAAAGTAAACCTTTCTAATTGTATTTTGTCATTAACGTAATATCTATATTCAATCTCACATCATAACAATGATTATATCATAAAGCAATTTTTATTTTAATTTTAGAATATTTACATAATTATTATTTTTAACAGAAAAAATTTATTTATAAAATAAAAAAAATTTCATTGAATGCACTATGGTCAAAGTTGTTTAATAGAAACTTATGAAAAATGTAGTTGAAAGCAAGTTGAAATAAGAGTATTTGATTTGACGGAATTAGCAGCCGATACTAATTTATGATAATTTATGACGAAACCAGAAGTTCAACAGCATAGTAACGAAAAAAATCTTTTCTCACAATAAAAGGCTTTGAAAAAAAGAATATTTTGCACTCTCAACTCATCAAATTTATTTCACGTCTATACATTTAATATATTTATCATCCCAATAAAAAGAGTTTCGTATTTTTTCTATGTCAATTTATTAATTATTTATTATGTAATAAAAATGCGTAAGAAAATGATTTGACAAAAAAATATCAACATGGCAAAGAAATTTTTCGCAACTTAAATAAAAATTGAAAATAATGATATTAGAGTTATACAGTATATGTTACTTGAAATTAAAGAATTAAAATTATTTGTTAAATATTTTAAATATAAAGATTTACGATCACGATTCAATTGTTGTTCCAGCTATCTTAAGATCCGGACTTTTGACCTTTTTAAACTTTTTACGAAAAATAAAAATAGTAATACATATCAAAATTGTTACACCTATCACTATTCCAAGCCCAATCAGTAAAGGTTTCAAAAACTTTAGAGAATTTAGAGAGTCAGGGGAAGAAGTGGGAGTAGAAGTACGAATGGGATACTTCGGGGAAGAGGCGGAAGGGGAAGGGGAAGGGGAAAGGGAAAGGGAAGGGTTAAAATATGTAACCCACGTATTATTTGTTATAAAATAAAGATATACTTTAGTATTTTATATTGCGGTATCTGCGTCGTATCCTAAAAAATTTGAAAATGTTTTTACAATTAGAAAAATGATTATTTTAAATACTGAAATACATTTACTTACCAAATGTAATTATCATGTAATTATTATATAAATTTGCTGTATGCCCATAAATTGTTGGCGGAGAATTGATTTTGGAATTATTTGGAATTGACCATTCATATGGAGATTTGTTTGTATCTAAAACAGCAAGCTTAGGACTGACGCTAGTATAATTTAATGTACAACCCCCAAATATAATAATATATCCATCTGGCGCTATATGATAATTTTTACTTTAATATAATTTTTTTATGTTTTATAAATAAATAAATAATTTGGATACCTACTCAACACAGAAGAAAAAATCCATCTTGAATCAATATCATCACCAGTGGCAACCTTAAAATTAAATATAATTAATAAGTTATTATGCTCATTTTATATAAATTAATATAAAATAAATACCATATATGACCATTCATCTTTTTTTGTATCAAAGAGTTTAATCTATTTGACAATAATATATTAATATTCATGAATAGGATTTGAATAATTATCAGTTTATATTTAAATTACTTACATCTTTCATTTTTACAAGAATGTCTGTGTCATCTTGTCCACCAAAATAAACAATAATTCCATTTGGTAAAATACTGGCCGAATAGTCACAGCTCGGTGGAGGAAGATTATTAGTTATGGCTAAATTTTTCCAAGTCATTTTGGAAGTATCCCATGTATTCATGTCATTAGAAGCGTTTCCAATAAGTGTTGTTAAATTACCCAAAATTCCACCAAATATATATAAAATTCCTGAATTGTCAATCACTCCTGTCATTTGCTGCCTGATAGGAATACTATCGCCAGTAATTGATGGTGTAGTCCATTTAGAATTAAGGTAATCATATGTATAAACTTGATTTGAAAAATCAAAATCGAGTGTAGTTTTATTTTGAATATATCCTCCAATTAGAAATATTGTAGAATTGTCTAAACTAACGATAGAAGTTGAACTTTCTGTATATATAGGAAGATCTCCTTCGCGAATTAAATTCCATGGTAAGTTGGCATTATCAAATGACTTTGATAAATCCAAATAGAATAATTCAGGCGATGGAGTTGTATTTCCTTTTTTTCCACCAATAATTAAGAGTTGATCATATATTATTACACTATTGTGATTTCGTCTTTCATTTGGGACATAGCATAAGATCGAATTAATTATAAAAGTAATGTAAAAAATGAATTTAAATAATTTAAATAGGAAATTCATCTTTAGGTAAAAGGAATTATATGATTTTCTTGAATAATAAATTTTTTAACTTCTTTTACTTGTTTACTTGTTTAATGCAACATAATTTTGCACAACATAATTTGCACTTCTATAGATAGGATTTAGGGAAATTTGTTCATTGCACGGAGACTAATCATGTGATTTCCTGATTTGATCATTACTTTTATTCAATGTGATATCATAATTAACCAATCGAAAATTAATTTACGTGATTGTTAGATCACATTTTTGTCCCACATTGAATGGGAATGCTATAAAAGTAATTATTTTTTTTGGTATTACCTCTATATCATGTTATATAACCTTTTTAGAAATTATCAAATTTATTGCAGTCTTTAAGTGTCGTGCACTGTATTAATGTCTAGTACGAGTCCTAAAAAAAGAAATATATAAAAATAGATCCTAAGATTTGATTTTATGCGGTTTACTTTTTATTTTATATATAAAGGTTTTCAAAATGCATTTTATATAATCAATTAATAAAATTATTGAATTTCGGGATATTAAAAAAAGGTAACTACTGTATACTAAAACGCCTCACCCGTCTAAAAAAAATTAAAAGAACGTAATAATAATGTAAAATTTATAAAAAGAGATAAAATATTATAGTGATAAAGAGTGAAATAATGAGAATAGTAGATAGGATGAAGAAATTGATTTAATAAACGAAAGCACAATTTTTGTAAATGCTGAGAGACTTAAACATTATTATAACTATCACTGTATGGAACAACGTACAGACTTGCTTCTGCAAGATTGGAAGAATATTTATGTCGAGCGTGAAAATTTAAAGATTTATATCAAATCTAATATGATTACTCTGGTATGAAAACCTTTTTAAAATCAACCAAATTTCGTTCAATTAATTTCTACTAATCAAAAAACGTTTTAAAGAATTGGATTCAGAAATTCAAAAGTTTCAGATTTTTTAATCAAACAAATTTTCTTATCAATATTTATGAAAGGAACGATTCCAATTAACATGATCTTGCAGATTTATTAAAAAAACTTTCATCATTAAAAAGACTTTAATAGAAAATTAATAAAAATACATCTCCCACTTTAATTTATCATCTATTAATAGTAATAGTGTTGATGTTATTAACCGTTGAACTTGTAAACGGTTCAACAACGAATGCATTAGAAAAATTTTCCTAAATCAAATTTTTCCATCTCCTTTCCCCGGCAGCATTATTACCTCATCAAAAAGTTTTAGATCTCATGAGACAGATGTTATCAATACTAAGTCATAATGTTATTTGGTTGTACTTAAAGATCCACCATATATTAAATATATCTCCACAGTATTAAATCAAAATGGACTTTCAGCAAAATTTCTAGATACTTTTCGAAATTTTTACTTCGAGAAAAAATTTTAGTTGAAAGAATGCAAAGATTGAATTACCATGTACTTATATAAATTCCGAATGGAACGGATCTTGAATCTTTAAGAAAGAATTATTTCGATTAAGTATGAAAGATGTATTTAGAAGACATAAGCGATTGGTTGTATTTGATATGGATTCTATTTTAATAAAACAAGAAGTTATTGATGAAATTGTCAGATTAGCAGGTGTGATTTATGTAGCGGCAGTAAGTTTATAGCTATTTTATTTTTATAATTCTTAATTTTCCAGTTTTTCTAATTTCTCTATAAATTTTTAATAATATTTTTTAGCAATTTATCAATTTTTAATTATTGTTTTTTTTAAGGCAATCACGGAATCTGCCATGAACGGTGAAATTGATTTTAAATAATCTTTAAGACGTTTTGTTTCTTTATTAAAGGAACACTTGTTAAAGATAATTTAGTTTATACGGGAGGTGCAAAATCTCTTTGTAAAGCGTTAAAAAAAGTAGGATTTAAATTAGCTGTTATCTCTGGTAAGCTTTTTTTTTAAAGATTCTCCAATACTTTTATCATCTTTTAACATCTTTTATTCTTTATTATAGGTGGGTTCATTCCTCTCGCTAGACACGTGAAAAATGAACTTGAGTTGGATTATGCTTTTGTTATTATAAAATATATTCGATTTTTTATACATTTCTTTATTTAGATAAGTTTCAAGCCGATGGTCATTTACAAGAGACTTTTAGGACCAATCGTTGATGGAGAACGTTAAGTGGAATTATTAGAAGCTATAACTCAATCAAAAATGTAACATTAGATCAAGTTATTGCAGTTGGAGATGTAGCAAATGGTTGGATTAGGTATAGCATTTAATGCTAAACCACGTGTGCAAGAAAAGGTAATATAATTTATTCCCAAGTTATTGATAAATTTTGTTAAAATTGAAATAAATTTTTCTATTCTCTATCCCACTCTCTTACCTTTTTTTTTTTTCTTAAAAAAAAGGCCAGTATAAGAATTAATCAGAAGAATCTTAAATACATATTATATATTTTAGGATATACAGTACAATTGATAAAATTAAAAACTACAATATTTTAACATAAATTATAAATTTTGGCTCTCTCAATAATACATTTAAGATATTATAAACATCAACATATCATTAGCAAGAAGGCAATTTATTTTCCCACACATAAAAATAAATATAATAATAATAAACAAAAATAGTTAATATTAAATCTAATCTAAAGTAGACCTTTCTAATTGTATTTTATTATTACCGTAATATCTATATTCTTCAAGTATTCAATCTCACATCATAACATTATTATATCAAAAAGTAATCCTTATTATTAATTTTTAGAATATTTACATAAATATTATTTTTAACAGAATAATAAATTTATTTATAAGATAAAAAAACGTCTCATTGAATGTCACTATGGTCAAAGTTGTTTAATAGAAACTTATGAAAAACGTAGTTGAAAGAAAGTTGAAATAAGAGCATTTGATTTGACGGAATGAGCGGCTGGCACCAATTTATGATAATTTATGATGAAATCGGAAGTCAACATAATGGTAACGAAAAAAAAACCTTTTCTCACAACAAAAGGCTTTGAAAAAAAGAATATTTTGCACTCTCAACTCATTAATTATATTTCACGTCCGTGCTTCGTATATTTTTTCTATGTCAATTTATTAATTATTTATTAACAAGATTTCTTCACCAAATCATGTAAAAAGCTGGATAAAATGTGTAAGAAATGATTTGACAAAAAAATATTCAAAGAATATTTTCTTTGTGGCAACTGTAGACTTCAAAATACCATACTAATACCCTCATATAAATCACGACTTAATTAAAAATTGAGATTATAAAAATGATATATTAGGGTTATACAGTATCTTAGCGTGGTACTTGAATTAAAGAATTAAAATTATTTGTTAAATATAAAGATTTAAGATCACGACTCAATTGTTGTTCCAGCTATCTTAAGATCTGGATTTTCGACCTTTTTAAACTTTTTACGAAAAATAAAAATCGTAATACATATCAAAATTGCTACAACTATCACTGTTCCAAGCCCAATTAGCAAAGGTTTCAAAAAATTTGGAGAATCGGGGGAAGAAGTGGGAATAGGATAATTCGAGGAAGGGGAAGGGGAAGGGGAAAGGGGAGGGTTAAAATGTGTAACCCACGTATTATTTGTTATATCATAAAGATACATTTTAGAATTATATATTGCAGTATCTATGTCGTATCCTAAAAAAAAATTTATAAATGTCAGTACTGTAATAGAAACTGATTGTAAATATTGAAATCTATTTACTTACCAAATGTAATTATCACATAATTATAATATAAATTTGCTGTATGTCCATAAATAGATGGTGGAGAATTGACTTTGGAACTACTTGGAATTGACCATTCATATGGAGATTTGTTTGTATCTAACACAGCAAGCTTAGGGCTGACGCTAGTATAATTTAATGTACAACCCCCGAATACAATAATATATCCATCTGGCGCTATATAATGATTTTTATTTTAATATAAATTTTTTATATTCAGAAATAATAATTTAAATATTTACTTAATACAGAAGCAAAATTCCATCTTGGGTCAACATCATCACCAGTGGCGTCCTTAGAATTAAATATATTATAAGTTATTATTATATTTATTTTATATAAATTAATTTAAAATAAATACCATATATGACCATTCATCTTTTTTTGTATTAAAGAGGTTAATCTATTTGACAATAATAATTTAATATTTATGAATAGAATTTGAATAATTTATCAGTTAATATTTAAATTACTTACATTTTTCATTTTTACAAGAGTATCATTGTCTTGTCCACCAAAATAAACAATAATTCCATTTGGTAAAATACTAGCTGAATAATCAGCACTCAGTGGAGGAAGATTATTAGTTATGGTTAAATTTTTCCAAGTCATTTTAGAAGTATCCAATATATTCATATCATTGTAGGCGTATCCGGAAAGTGTTGTTAAATTACCCATAATTCCACCATACATATATATAGTTCCGTTATTGTCAATTACTCCTGTCATTTGCTGCCTGATAGGAATACTATCGCCAGTAATTGATGGTGCAGTCCATTTAGAATTAAGGTAATCATATGTATAAACTTGGTTTGAATAATCTTCAACGAGTGTATTTTTATTTTTTATATATCCTCCAATTAGAAATATTGTAGAATTGTCTAAACTGACAATAGAAATTGAACTGTACGTATATATAGGAAGATCTCCTTCGCGAATTAAATTCCATGATAAGTTTGTATTATCAAATGACTTTGATAAATCCAAATAGAATAATTCAGATAATTGAGTATAATTTATTTTAGTACCACCAATAATTAAGAGTCGATCATTTATTATTACAGTATCGTGATAAATTCTTTCATTTGGGACATAGCATAAAATTGAATTGATTAAAAAAATAATACAAAAAATAAATTTAAGTAAATTATATAAGAAATACATCTTTAATTCTCGAAACAATAGGAATTCTATGATTTTCCTGAATTATAGAATAATTTTTGCCTTCCGTTTATTTATGTAAATTTATTTTGTACTATCAAACCTGGGAAAATAGCTTCGTTACGTTCCAATTTTGGTAATAGAATATGATTTAATTTTTATCATTCGTATTTCATGATAAATCACGCCAGTGTGATTATCAACCAATAAAATGAAACACATGATTTAATCGATTCTTGACTCAGATTAAAACTGGCCAAAGTTAGGGTTAGAGTTGAAGGATCTACATAGGCCAATTTTATAATTCTGGTCAATGGTTGACACCTGAGTCAAGGATACGATCTGAGCCACACCATTAATATAAAATGTTTGTTTTCTCTTCTTGAATACTTTCATACATTTTAAATTCTTAACACACCAGTCATTTTAAGAAGATCTTGCTGTAAAAGTTGTTTATTGTATGTGTATTTAAATATATCGATTATTAAAATCCTCAAAAAAATACTTTTAAAACAGTTTTTATTATTTTTTTATATTTTATTCTATCAAATTCTTCATGTATAATATTTTTTTGTTATCCAAGGTACTCCTGTAAGAAATTATTATTCTTCAAAATAAAATATTTAACAAATTATTTATTCTGATCATGAAGCAGAATAATAATTACAAAAAATTATATCAAGATCATGAAGCAGGACAATTACAAAAAGGTTTTTCACTAAGAAATCATAAAGGTTTTAAATTATTATTTGTCACAAAAACTTTTATTAATAATTTATTACTAATATTGAGTTCTGAATTTATAACTTATTCAATTCTTAAGTTATTTTCAAACTGATTTGAACTAAACTTTTAAAGGTGCGGGAAAATCAATCTTTGAAATAATGACTATCTGTATTACAAATGTATATCAAAGAATATTACAGGATTTTCTATAGAGATTATTTTTAGTAATAAATATAATTGATACTACATAATTAAATTGATATACTAATAGCTATAAAACTATAATAATAAATATATATGAGAAAATAATAACTAATAAATAAATAAATGTTACTCTAATAAAAGAGATAAAAAAATAAGGCAACAATAGTAGATAAGATCTAAGTGATAGTGAGATCAGCAAGATAATCTAATTAATATAGTACCAATTTAGTTTATCTATATTAGGTGGTTAGTATAACCACTTGTATTTTATTTTATTACTATTTATATTATTTTATATTATCATTTATATTTCTTTATTTATTATTTTATTATTTTTATTTCATATGCTTAACCATTCTGGAATAGGTCTATGATCTAAAATTTATTATTTATTATATTTACAGTATTATTATATATTATTAATCATAAAACAAATAAATAAGTATATGTATTTCTATTTAATAAAGGGAGCTTTTGCTTTTAATAAATTAATAAAAGGTGTATAATAACTCCATGACTCCTTTAAAGTTGGAACTTGCTCTGGATAGTACTTATATTATTTAATACTCTGAATAGAGTCTATTAATTTTGCTTTAGATTAAGCATTTATTAATTTGAAGTAAGAGAATTCTTACAAATCTAATGATGAAATAAGCAGTAATAATAAGTTTGAATATATGTTTTATGAAATATTTAATAACGATAATACTAGTGGTGTATACTTTGAAGACTTTAAAGAAAGTCAAGAAAATAATTATGAACAAAATTAAGTTATAGATACAGTCAGACTTATATATTGTCACGTGTCCAATATGACAATGTTCTGAAGGATAGAGAATCTTCTCTAACAAAAGCTAACAAAAGGTTATATAATTATTGTGTTATTTTTGATGATCCTACTTGATCAATTATAGCAAATTACAGAATCAGGGAAGAGGATCAACTTAGAAGTGAATTCTTTATTGTGACGGGATTTTTACAATACTGAGTTAGAGTGAATTCTTTATTGTGATGGGGTTTTATAACACCAAGTTAATTTGTGACTTAGCAAGGTGTATGTGTAAAAGATTCAGAGTCAATAAATTATATGAAGACTTTATTTTAATATTAACTTTATTAAAATAAATACAAGAAATATAAGAAATGAATATGATATATGATAATAAATAATAAAAGATAAATATATAGAAATGATAAAAGAAATAATATTTATTAAAAGAATAAATCAGAGAACTGTTTGGATATTATATAAAACTTGAGAACTATTAAAACTGAACTGAACTAATTAACTAACTTTAACTAACTGATTGATGAAAAACTAAAACTAAAAAGATCTGTATTTATATCCTTTTGGTACTATTACAATGATTTTACCTTTATTTTTATTAATTATTTATATATTTTATTCTTATATATATTATATTATATATCTATTATTTTATTATTTATTTCTTATTATTGTGTGTAGTATTATGGTAAATTGATTTAGTAGGCTGTAGTACAAATTAAATATTATTATTTAAATTAGTAAATTTCTAAATTCTTGTAAGTTTGTAACACTAGAATACAAATTTGAGTACAAGCCATAGTATGAGTTAATATCTCAGTTAAAGTACAAATTAAATTAACAGTTAAGGTACTAGTTAGGATATTAACATAAATTTTTTTTTTAATTCCAACAGAGTCATACTTTATTAAATAATTTATTTTGCAGTTGATAAAAATTAAACAAATTTATAAAAACTACAAGTACATTTAATACAACTGGCTATAACTAAATTAATAACACAATTACCTAATTCATCCTTGTCCTAGTGTTACCTAAAACAACTGATGGTCATGCCCCTGCCCATCTCTTTTTGACCAATTTGAGCAAAAAGTTGCTAGAAAGAAATATTAACCCATCGAGAAGCTATAAATTAGAAAGCTGTACACTAAAATTTGTACAGAAATAAAATATTTAAATAGAAAATTAATAGTAGATAAATATCCATATTCACTAATATTAAAACTAATTTTAAGAACAAAAAATTACATGAAAC